CTCCTCCTCCTCCTCCTCCTCCTCCTCCTCCTCTCTTCTCCCGGGCGTAATGCAGACATGCTGCATGCAGCATGTCTGGGGAAGGGGCCCTGAGATCAAACTTGCAAGCAAGCAGCCTTGCCGGATGGAACAAATCAGGACGCTGAACGTCCTGTTCTGTTCAATCCGTGGCCCCTGGAAGTCCCGACCCTTTCCCTTGCTGGGGCAAATTTTTCATCCCGAGTCGTTTTCTGGCGCTGCCGAGGCCTGGCGAGGGCCCCGAGAGGCCGAACACGGCCTGGAACCTCCGGTCCCAGACCCGGCGTAATGATTTTTTCTTAGCGTCGACCCTCAGAGGTCTCGACCCATTCCCCTGGACCGGCTTTTCATCCTGAGTCGTTCTTCGACGCTCCCGAGGCCCGGTAAGGGCCCCTGGAGGCCGAAAACAACGAACAATCTCCTGTCATGATTCCTTTCCTTACCCGAGGGAGTCTGGGGTCACGATTTTTGTTACGACGCCGTTCCGTGTTTCTTCCCATGCTAGGGGGGCGACGATGGGGGGGGATACGCATAGGGGGGGAACCATCGACCTGGAATCGGCGATACATCACCGATAGATCGGCAATGGGCCTCCGATAGCGAATCCCAACCTTCCTGGGCAGGTTGGAACTATCGGGCCCCTATCGGCGATCAGTGGGCGATTGGGGGGTCGATGCGTCCCCCCCCCCTCTGCCTATCCCCCCCCTATCCCAGACCCCCGGCGTCGTGATTTTTTCGCAACGTCGACCCCCAAAGGTCTGGACCCCTTCCCCGGGACCGGTTTTTCGTCCTGAATCATTTTTTGACGGTCCCGAGGCCCGTTGAAGGCCCCCGGGGGCCGAAAGTTTGGAAAAACCTCCCGTCGTGATCTTTTCACATCGCGAGGAAGTCTGGGATCGCGAGATCCGACGTAGCGACAAAATTGCAACATTGCAAAAAGTCGCGACCGGAGCCCCACACCCAATCTTCCTGCATCATTTTTCAAGCCGGATCGATCTGCGAGGTTCCAGGGGCCCGGAGCGAAAACGCCCGTTGTGAAAAAATTGCAACGCCAGGATCTCAAGGTATCATCGGGGATCTGCTAACCCGTGTCCTGCTGACCCGGGTCAGCAGGAAACCAAAAACTGCAATGCAAAACAAAAAGAACTACATCGCAGGGCTTCGCAAACCCGGGTCAGCCCATATGCGCGGCCGCCTCGCGGCCAAGAGCGGCTCGCTAACCCTGTTCGGCCAGAGAGGGCCTTCGCAGGACCCTGCAGGATCCGGTGCCCTGGCTGACCCCCGTTTGCATTGACCCCCGTCTCGTAAGCTCTGATATTCCCCATCCCTTGAGCTCCGAAATGGAGCGAAAACGCCCGTTGTGAAAAAATTGCAACACCAAGATCTCAGCCCAGACATGCGACGTCCTGAATTCTTCAGGACGGCATCCCCAGAAGTCCAGACCCTTTCCCCAGGGCTGGTTTTTCATGCCGAATCGTTCTTGGGCGCTCCTGGGGCCCGGCGAGGGCCCCCAAGGGCCGAAAATAGCGAAAACCGTGGCGTCCTGATTTGCTACGACGCGATCACGCCTGGGAGGGTATATCTTGGGCGCCCGAGTTATCCGGGGTAACTCGGGCCCGGGGCAACTCGGGTTCGGATTCCCGAAAAACGAACCCGAGTTAGCCCTGACCCGAGTTACCCCTGATGATTCGGGTCTCTGACTATCGCATCGCCGCCGGGCGCTTCGCGATGGTGGGCCGCACGCCGGCTCGCCGCGGCGGCGCGGCGGAGGGCGCCGCCGCCATGTGGCGGTGTGGGCGGGCTTAAGTCGGGCGCGTCCTGTGCAGCTCCCCGGCGCTCTTGCGCACGGCCTGCCCCGCCCGGGACGCGCGCCAGGCCCGCAGCGCCTCGGCCGCCCCCGCCTCCGGCGGCGCCCCAGCGGCGGGAGCGCCCGGGGGCCGCGACCTCCCGCGGGGCCACGCTCGCGTGGTCCTCTCCAGCTCTCCTCCTCCTCCTCCTCCTCCTCCTCCTCCTCCTCTCCTCCCTCCTCCTCCTCCTCCTCCTCATCTGGCCCCTCCTCCTCCTGCTCCTTCTCTCCCTCCTCCAACTCTCCCCCCCCTCTCCGCGACCACTTGCGAAGGCGATCCTCTTCACACGGTGGGAGGAGCTCAAGCGGAAGGTGGGCGACGCAGACAAACGGGCTCGATTGCGCGGACCTTCGCGCGAAAGTTGCCCGCGCAAGGTCGCGCGTAAGCGCCCTCGTCTCCAACGCAGCGTGCCGCAATGGCGGCCGCGTAAGCCACCACGAAAGGTCGCCATGCCATCGCGCGTACTCCAAATCCCTTAGTAATCGACCCCCCCCCCTAAAAAACCAGACCCCCCTCCAAATGCAGCCTAATATTCTGCACCCCCTCTTCGACGGGGCGCCTCAATAAACCGGACCCTGTAAGCTCCGATCCAAAGAAAGCGCCTGACCCCCCCAGTTACAAAAAAGCGCCTCAAAAAACCGGACCCTGAGGACGATTAATAAGGGATTTGGAGTGCCACCACCAGCGCTGGGCACCAAAGGCCCTTCGAAAACCAAAGGTGGGCACCATAAGCCTACCACCGCCAACGGAGGTACACCATATACCATGTGTGCCCTCCACCTTCCACTCCATTCATCACTCAGTGAATCTTCCACTCTGATATTTCAGCCTCTCTCCAGACCCCCTCCCGTCGCGAACAAAAAACGACGTGAGGTTTTTCGCTATTGTCGGCCTCTGGGTCCCTACCGAAAAACGACCCAGGATGAAAAACCGGTCCAGGAGAAGGGGTCCAGACCTCTGGGGGCCGACGTTGTGAACAAAATCACGACATCGGGGGTCTGGTTTGTCTACAACCGAAAATATAACGGACTTGAACATTGGATTTTTACGTTGGTTGTCTTGGATTGATACGTTGGATGTTGACCTTGGACTTTTACGTTGGTGTTGTACGTCGGGTTTTCATGTTGGATTCTTCGCTGTGCACTGTGCGTTCGGTCGAATGCGCATGTGCACCTGCGACTGTGCACGAACGGCTCCAGCACTAAACACTTACGGTTCACCGTGCCGAAAATATGACCAAGAAATCTATCATTGAAGAAATCTGGGCCTACTTCCAGAAAGTGTCTTCAACCACGCCTAAGACGAACTCTTCCGTGGACGCTGGAGGGGCGAACCTGCTCCAAAAGCCGGGCCAGCTTTCCGGCAAGGCCGGCCAAGAAAGGCTGGCCCAGCTTCTGGGGAGGAGGTTTCTTAATCAGATGCTGCTCGACTGCATGAAGAAATAGATGGGCGATTTCGGAACCCCTGAACCCAAAAAACGCTTTCATCTCTTGGAGGCGCATCTTTTACTTCCGCCGCCTTCCGCCAGCCTTCCGCTGGCTTCCGCCAGAGGAGGCGGCGTCGTTTCACTTCCGCCGACCTTCCGCCGCGCAAGAGAGGACAACTCCGTGAATCCTTGAAGGCAAGGCCCTTCTCCGAGACATGCGACGTCCTGATTTTTTCAATACTGGGTCCCTAGAAGTCCCGACCCTTTCCAAGGGACCAACTTTTCATCCTGAGTCGTTCTGTTGACGGTCCCGGGGCCCGGCGAGGGCTCCCAGGAAGGGGTCGAGACCTCTGGGGGTCGACGTAATACAAAATTCATGACGTCGGGAGTCTAGGATTCGATGTCGACCGATCCTGCCATCTGTGGCGTTCCAAGCCCAGATCTGTGATCGCGCCGTGGGACCGGTTTCTCGTCCTGTGAGTCGTTTTTTGACGGTCCCGAGGCCCAGTGGCGGCCCCCGGGAGGCGGACAATACGGAAAAACCTCCCGTTATGATTTTCCCATTGCCCGAGGGGGTCTGGGATCGGAGCATTGCCCCGACTCCAGATCCGCCCTACTTTGGCATTTTTTCCAATTTGGAATTGCGTCGGTCCACCTATAAGAGGCCGAAAAAGTAGGGCGGAAATTTCTGCACCCAACATCAAGTGGGGCGGAAATCCACAGAAGCAGGGCTTGAAAAGTAAGGCGGAAATTCCAAGCCCTACTTACGAATTTCCCCAAAGTAGGGCGGATCCGGAGTCAGGGATTTCCCAGAGATCCAACGTCTTGAGAAAAAAATCACGGGGGAGGTTATTCGCAAATTTCGGCCCCTACAGGGGCCGTCGCCGGGCCTCGGGACCGTCAATAAACGGCTTAGGCTGAAAAACCGGTCTTGGGGAATGGGTCAAGACTTCCGGGGACTCCGCATTGAAATATCACGACGTCGGATCCCTGGGTTGTTCCAGCCCTGAGATCCTGGCGTCTCAATTTTTTCGAGCCGGGCGTTGTTGCCTCTCTTTCGGGCCCCCGGACCCTCACAGATCGATCCGGCTCGAGAAATGATGCAGAAAGATGGGGTCCAGGGCTCCAGGCGTGATTTTTCACAATGTTGCATTTTTTTCGCTACGTCGGATCTCTGGGTTCACGGGGCCCCTGGAAGTCCCGACTCTTTCCCCGGGACTGGTTTTTCATGCTAAGTGGTTTTTGGACGCTCCCAGGGCCCGGCGGGGGCCCCCCGAGGCCGGAAACGGCCAACAGCCTCCCGTCCTGTTATTTTCGACGACGCGATCATGTCTGGGTCTGAACGTCGGGATCGAGTCGGATTGCGTCGGCCGATGCCGACAGCGAACCAGGTCGGTCCGATCGAGAGGGGCTCGAGGGCGACGGAGCCAGAGCCCCTCGGGCCACGCAGACCACACGACGGACGGCTTTGGATGGCTTTCGGCCTCTGGTTGGGCGTCACTTGCTGGGGGGGGCGATCAATGCAGAGAGCAGAACGTCTACCCTCATACTCACCCCGGCGCGCGAAGCCGTTCAGCAAACGCACCCAAAGAAGGACTCGAACAGGGCAGGGCTGTTGAGTCAACGACCTGGGCCGTGTAGTAAACGCCATGTATCGGGTCCGGGTGGTTTTTTTTTCCTCCCTCGACGATGCAGAGGGGGGGGGGGCGGGAGAAAGGTGCCCTTTTCGGGCCCTGGAGGCCCCCTTCTGGCCCCACTTTCGGGGCCCTACAGGGCCCCTTTCCTGCAACCCTCGCAACCTCCCCATGTTACACGCCCCTCAGTCTGGGGGCCCTCGCTGGGCCGCGGGACCGTCAAAAACCACTCAGGGCGAAGCACCGCTTCCCGGGGAACGGGTCGAGACCTCAGAGGGTCGACGTTGTGAAAAAAATGACGTCGGGTGCCTAAAAGGCAAAGAGATTCAGCTCGGATGGAGAAAACTGCCAACTTCCATTCTAATGGGAAGAGGACTCCACCATGCAAGGGCAGTCCGGACAGCAGGGAGGGAGGAGGGAGGAGGGAGGGAGGGAGGGAGGGAAGGAGGGAGGGAGGGAAGGAGGGAGGGAGGGACGAACGGAGGGAGGGAGGGACGAACGGAGGGAGGGAGAGAGGGAGGAGGAGGAAAACGGGAGGGATGATGATGCAGATGATGATGATGATGATGATGATGATGATGATGATGATGATGATGATGATGATGATGATGATGACGACGATGACGACGACGATGACGATGACGATGAGGATGATGATGATGATGACGATGACGATGACGATGAGGATGATGATGGTGATGATGATGATGATGATGGTGATGATGATGATGATGAACGAATGAATGAATGAATGAATGAATGAATGAATGAATGAATGAATGAATGAATAAGTTAATGAATGAATGAATGAATGAATGAATAAATGAATGAATGAGGATGATGATGATGATGATGCTGATGATGATTATGATGATTATGAGGATGACGATGATGATGATGCTGAAGCTGGTGATGAGAATGGTGCTGATGATGACGATGATGGTGGTGATGATGATGATGATGATGATGATGATGCTGATGGTGATGGTGCTGGTGATGATGATAATGATGCTGATGATGATGATGATGAGGAGGAGGAGGAGGAGAAGGAGGAGGAGGAGGAGGAGGACGACGACGACGAAGAGGAAAGAGGGGAGGAGGAGGAGGAGGGAGGAGGAGGAGGAGGAGGAGGAGGAGGGAGGAGGAGGAGGGAGGAGGAGGAGGAGGAGGAGGAGGAGAGGGAGGAGGAGGAGGAGAGGGAGGAGGATCGGGAAGAGGAGGAGGAGCGACGCTGCCACGAGAACATATCTGTCCACCTCGGGGCGCCTGCGCGGCGGCAGGGGAGCGCCTGGCCAGCTTGCCCGAGGCGCGCCCGGGAAAGCCGCCACGAGGGGCACGGGGCCACTCCTGCCGAAAGCTTCCGCAGTGTGCTCTGCCGAGCACACGGTATCATACAGGCGCGCGATAGGCATGAGCTGGGCGTCGGAGAGCGGGCCCGGAGGCCGAAGAGCCCGAGGCGGCCGGAGAGCCGAGGCAGAGGCGAACGAGGGAGGCAAGAGGGGGAGGCGAGCCAGCAGCAGGTCGAGAGGAGGGCAGATAACAGGTTGGGGAGCGTCATCAGCTGCGTGTGCGAACTGACGCTGCTGTGGGTTCCCGAAACCTCCGAGTAGCACACCAGCTGTTACTGGTCCTTCTTATATAATGATCGACAAAGATATTCAAAAAGAGCTCGGAACCAGGCCACACGAGCGCCTAAACATCTGAATGCCTAAATCCACCGGGGCCCCGTAAATCACGGGATGCAAATATTAAGCCTAGTTTTGATTTCAGAGCGCACCGATCTTTTACCCAGGGAACGCAAGAAAAAAACATCGACACGACGCTGGAGCGGAGGCGTATGACTAGGGAGGATGGGGAGGGCATTCAGGGCTTGATACTGGCCATCGCTCGGACGTCCATTCCCTGCGTAGCTTTTTCGCCAAATGATCAAGGATGCTCCTCGATGGTCCTCGCCGGAAGAGAAAATGCACACGTCCGAGCGATGCCAAGGATAATTCGGGCGCGTCTGGACTATGC